ATAGCAAGCTAGTCACGTACTCCACATTGATCAATAATCTTAACATTCTCTATTCTTGTCTTAAACTATAGAAAAGTCAGAAAGTCCAGGAAAGTAAGATGACCGGCTTAAGACTAGCCTTAGGCTATTCCTCTCTAAAGACCTAAAACAACCTTACATTATCTGACTTCCACTATCAAAGTTAAAGGTCAAGACAAACAGGGGACTAAAACTTTTTTTCTTCCATGTACTCAATTAAGTTGACGAGAAACAGGCTCAATGACTCTGTTTTCTTGTGGTTTTGGAAGCCACTCGCTTTTACGATGGAATTTTTCTCACTCACATCAACCTTTGAGTCATGACTCCTGCACAGATGGGCCATCCACCCTTATCTGGCAGGCTGACTGACTGCATGGTCAGAGCTCCTTGCAGGAGGTTGTTACACCTAGCCTGCAAGCCCTGCCATGCTCTCCCAGGTCGCTAAGCCTCAACAAAACGCACAATACTCACCAGTCTTTTCGCTCAGTTTCTGGAATTAAAAGAGCACATTTCATTTAGCTAGTTTACGTGGGAATTCATCCCACAAACAGAAGGAAGATGGAGGACATGGTATGAAACCGGTGATCCTGACCTTGAAGTTGGTACGTGCCCTTCAGCACCTCCTTCAAAGCTGAAAATGCACATGCTGTGCCAAGATCAACGGGAAGCCAGGATTTCTAGCCACAGTCCTGGAACAGCCCTTAAATACCTTCTCCCTTTGTAAGACACTACTGTTATGTCCAGAAATCACCAGAGGGTCCCTAAGGAGCAAGCGGTGGTGAGGGTGTGATCCTGCTAGCTCCATTTCTCTCCCGAGGGAGGATCAGATCTTAGGAACACACACTTTGAGCCCACACCATGCCACATGAGCTACCAGAGACAGAGGACCTCAGGGGAGACTGTCCCGCCAGGAGGTTGAGCTGTTATCGGGGAAGTCTAGAGGGACCTTCTGTTTCTTACCAACTGCTTAGGTAACAAAGTTTCTCTGAGGAAGGATGACCTCACTTGACCCAGTGCTTATCCCAGTGGAGACGGCTCTGCACCCAAACCACCTGGGCAGAAGGACAAGCTCATTTTCAGGAAAATAGACTGGAGAGAAGGCTCTGACCTGAAAGCCTCCTCCAAAGTCATTACTGCCTAAGAAAAGTCCCTTTGCCCACCCCAGGCCTGTGCAGATTCTTTTTTTTTTTTTTTTTT